AAAAAAATAAAAAATTAGACAAAACTAGCTCAATTTTGTAGTCAACAGTCTCCCTCTTTGTGTCTCTATTAGAGAGAAGCATTAGAAATTATATATCTACACTATGTAGGAATTTATTTTATTTATTTTTTTTTTGACAATGAGAATAAAAGTTACAAATGATGATTTAAGTATTAAAAAAATAAATAAACAATAACTTATAGATAATTAGATTCATTAAATAATTATCTCAATTGCAAGTTAGTCTTCAATCTTTAGAAAGAAGTAAGATAGTTAAAATACTTTGTTATAGTTATAGAATTCGTCTTTGATTATCGAAACTATCAACTCTTAATTAAATTGTCACGTAGATGTCATAAAACACATCTCATTTCAAATTTATGGGAATCAGTCACTAGGTTGGATAGAAAAACCTAGCTTCATGAAATTCAACAAGCGTGGACGACTCAACTATTTAACAAAGATTAAATAGTTTTTGTTATTAGAACGTGCAACAACGACAAAAGGATTACATACCAACTTGCTCATTTTTAAAAAACAAAAATTAATCGATATGAAACAAAAAAAATTAAGAAGTAATAGTACCCTGTAAAAAAGAGCTAAATGATATAATTCGATAGAATTAACAAAATAAGGTTTGCTAACAAATGTCATGAAAACTTGTCACTTGCCATAAGGGAAAACTTTGGGAAGAATAGTAGCTATCATAGTTTAAGATTACGTTATCACAAATATCAAATATTGAGAAAATTTGCATAAATTAAGTCATCGTTCACGTGTTTATTTTATTTTTATTTTTTTTATAAGAATCGGATTTATATAAGATAGGGAATATGATCGAAATTGATTGTCATATAAGAATACTAAGATATATATATACACACACACACACACATTGATTAATATTTTCTTGGAATGGATCCCGATCATAACCAACAATTTACAACTCAATGTTCAATCTATTAGGTGTCCCAATTTTTAATAAACAGTATGTATACAACTATTCATACTAAGATAGATTATATGTCATAGTTGTTGAATTTCACTTTAATCACATACGTTATCAAGTTGACACAATTCAGAGGATAAGACGTACAACGGAATATTTATCACTTTTCACAAAAATTAGGAGACGAGATATATGGTAGAATACCTCTATTTTATACGTATTTATCACAATTTTCGTTAAAAGATTAAATCACAAAAAAAAAAAAAAAAAAAAAAACGCCACACCACAAATTGCCATTTGCAAAGGAGATCATAATAAAATTCTTAAGAATATTGTCACCGTCCAATGCACTAGTGGTCACAGTTTCACAAAAATGAGGGATAACAAAACCCCTTTCCCAAACCCTAGCATGTATATTTAAAGCTTAGATAATGAGAATCCAGATATACCAAGTTACAATCATAACTATATCGAGCCCCTATTTGGTGAGGGGATTAGAATTAAATTATTAGTAAATTTTGGTAAAAATTGATGAAATATGTGATAAAAAAATCGTTGATCCCATGAAATGTGTCGTTAAAATTAATTTGTGATTTTAACTTAAATTAAAAATCTAGATTTTAATTCCTACCAAATTAGGGATGGCAAAAAAATCCGTTAAACCAGATACTCACGAGACCCCTCTCCGAATGTGGCATGGATTACTCGCTTTATTCAGGTATTCGAATCGGGTACAAGGCGGGCCCTTTAACTTTTTTTAAAAACTTCAATACTTTAAATATGTGTTTGATTGCATTTATTTTTCATGAAAAAATAACAATTTTCTACCCAAATCCTACTTTGGAGTGTTGGATTGTTATTTTTTTCTTTTGAAAATATGTCTAATTTTCCTTATTTTTAAGGAAAATATTTTCTTTGGGGAAGTAAGTTTTTGTTTTCCTCAAAATAAGGAAAACGTTTTCGTTTCAAAGTAATATTGTCCATATCAATCAAACACACTCTGAAAAACTTTATGAAATTTCATTAATTCTAATAGAAGATAACAACTAAAATTATTTAAAAAATATGAAAAGTAATAAAAACTTTAGGGGAAAATTGCAGCCACGATATCAAACATTTCGTTTATTAGTAGATTTTGTCCAAACCTTTCATTTGTGCTACTCGCGGTACCAAACCTTTCAAAAATCCTCGCTTGAAGTCCAAATGGATGGTTTCCGTTAGTTTGACTACCAAAACTATTAGTTGACTCCCAAAATAAAAAAACTTTATTATTTTCCCCAAATAAGGCAAGGGCATTTTGGATAAAACACATTTTTTCTATTAAATCAAAAATTTTATAAACAAAAAATAAATCCACAACTCATTCCCATATCCTTCTTCCTCAAAATCCAAACCACTCCGGCCGCCATCGACAACCACCACCCCCCACCTAAAACCACCACCACTAGATGGCTCCACCTCACCTACCCAACATCGACGCCATCCACCATCCACTGACAATAAATATGAGGATAGCCCGAACTATCATCCGCCATCCACCACCCACCTATCCACTGTCAATCACCACCACCACCTCATTTCAGATTGTGTTTCAATTTCACTTGAATACATATCCTTCGCCGACCACCCCCATCACCATCCACATCATGGCCGCAACCTCCAACCTAACGCTCCTCACAATTAGGCATCACCACCGCCTCAAAAACAGTAGCTCACTCAAACATTCAAAGTGAAATTGAACCTTCAGCTCCCTCAAGCAATCGAAGATTCACTCCATTGTTACCATCAAACTGCCGTCACCACCATTGCTTTTCCTCACCACCACCACTACTTTCATTCACTAGAATAACCATTTATACCACAACAATAGCAAATCATCAAAATCAATTTTGGTTGTTTCATATCTAAAGTAAAGAAATCCACCACTCTTTCATTCTTCCATTATTGGTGTCCGTAGCAGTGGCAATGACTTTTGGCCTGGATAGCTGTGGTGGTCAATCACCTAGATGGAGGTGGCGGCAATTTTGTGGCGAGGAGGATTTCTGGGAATGGGGAAAGAAGGGATGGGTTTAGGTGGTAATTGTTTTTATCTTTAGTGGTGGTCGATCGCTGGGTGATGGTGGTGCTCTGCAGTCAGGACGGCGATGGCAGTCGATTGCTTGGATTGTGGCGGCAACGGCGACGGCGACTTTGGGGCAAGGGTATTTGTGGGAATGGGGAAGAAAGGGTTAGGTTTTGGTGGTGGGTTAGTTTTAATCTTTTTATTTTTTATTTTATTGTTAAATTATATATATATACACACACACACACACACACACACACACACACACCCCCCTTTTACCCTTTGAAATTTATTCAACAATTGGTCAGACCATTGACCTATACTCAACTAACAGAGAAATTAACAGAAACCATCCATTCGGACTCCATGCGAGGACTTTTGAAAGTTTTGGTACCGTGAGTGGTACAAACGAAAGGTTTGAACAAAATCTACTAATAAACAAAAGGTTTGGTACCGTAGCTGCAATTTTCCCAAACTTTAGCTTACAAAATATATTTGAATAATTTAATTTTTAGAAATTAATTAATTAATTAAAAATTTTAATAATTATATAATTGCATCACCTTAATAAATGTAGGCAATAAAATAATTATCAAAAACCAAAGATAAAAAACAAAATTAAATTAAATGGATACTAAACGTGGCCCCGACCCGCTCCATCCCACCTTAAACAGGTAATGGGGCAGGTACGGGATGAGAAATTATCCGACGGGGCAAGAGAATTTGTCTTTATAATCACTATACCAAACATAGACTAAGTGAATGTTTGGTATTGATTTTTTTACCAAAAAAATTAATTTTTTAACTATTATTTTACTATTTAAGCTATCATTTTTTACTTCTTCTTTCATAGATTAGACTCACTTTTCTCTCTAATGATCAAAAAATAAATTCTCAAAATCACCACCTATATACATCTTTCAATATTAAAGGTCACATTATAAAATTGAGATAAATAGAAAGTTAACATGGAAGAGATCACTGAAAGAAGGGAAATCTTTCACTCAGGTTAAAATTGAAAAGTGCCAATAAAAATACAATCTTTAATAAACTAATAATGATTATGATTTCATGTATTTTAAAGACGATTGGTGGGTAAGACACATAGTTTAGTAAAAAGAAAAATAAACAAACATTGCCCGTACAAGTAATTGTGTATGACATTAAGATATCACAATTTTTAATAATACTTGATTTTGTATGATAGCATGACAGTCCACTTGCACCAACAAACAAAATAACTCCAAATATTTCGGTGCTTTGCCCACTTCTGCACTTCTATGGAATGTGTACTGAGCTGGAAAATCTTGCTTTAGACCTAATTTTTCCCACTTAATAAAAGTGATCTTCGACCTTCAATTGCGTGGTTACTTGTGAAAATTTAAGTTAGCAGCGTGATGCACGTCGTCGAGTTATTCATGCATGATGGGTGTTCGGCCTAGAGATTCATAAAAATATTTTTAATTTTAGGTACACGCTCAGTTAATATTATGAGTAACTAAAAAGTTACATTTACTATTTAGTAATCAATCATACATTCAGAACTACTATTCATTATCATATAGACATTCCGTGGTTTCCCTTAGTCTTTTGAAAAATTACAAATAATCCATCATAAATGGAGGATATGTGAGTGTTCGGATGATTTTTTTTTTTTTTTTTATGTAGCCTCAAAATTGACCTAATTTTGCCAAAAGGGCCCTCCACAAGTCACACTTGTCTAGGTCGACAATAATTGTTCCATATCAATACTTCCATCAATATGTCCCGACCCATTCTATTTCTCTTCATGCACAAAAGTACATTAAAAAAAAAAAATCCCTCTAATTTTAAGAGGGAATGACTCATGCCTGTCTGCAACTTAGTTTCAATGAAATTACTATTCCATCAATTGGTGAAGACCCAAGCATAGACCAACTCGGTCCAATGAACATTCAATAAACCGGATTTTTAAATATTTAATCCGAAAGGCTTTAACTTAATTTAGGGCTTGTCAGAATTCTTCAGTTGGTTCAAAATAATTGTGGGCTGTTTTAATGATAGCCCAACACCAATCACACTTCATAACCTAGCAAATACAAAGGCATTTCTCCGGCGAATTTTCTCCACCTTCCGGCGGCAGACCCGAAGGAGAATTTGACCATCGGTAAGATCTTTTCTTTTCTTCCTGTTCCTTTTGCTTCTTTATTGACTGCGCCTCTTCGCTTGCAGTAGTTTTCTTGTTGCGAGAATTTCGCTAGAGCAGTTGAGAATTCCAACAAATGGCTGCATCTAATTCTTCGAAACTGTTTCGACGTAAGTGTTTCCATCGTTCTCAACTTCAAATCCTTTTCACTGTAAATTCGTAAATGAGCATACTTTGTGTACTTTTTAGTTAATACTTAATTGTGGAAAGATATGAGTTTCCTGACTACGCCCAATGTTGGATTAGTCAATTTGAGGGGGGAAAGTTCAGCATTTTGCATATTACAATAATGTAAAATTCTTTTTTTTTTTTATATTTTTAATGCTGATTAGTTTTTACTTTAATTCCTAGAGAGATGTTATTGTTTGAATGATATGTTTGTGAATGTTAGCTGTTTCGAGTTCAGTTTATATTTTCCCTTTTGATTTGAAGCAAAATTCAAGATAACAACATTACATGATTGGTAACATGCATGTTCTTTTACCAATGTACTAAGAAAGATATATATATATATATATATTTTTTTTTTATTTTTTTTTATTTTTGTTAATTATTTTTTGTTGAGAATTTTTTGTTACAATAAAATTAAAATGTTGTATGCGTTGTTGAATCATTGAAGTCAATTTGCTTTTTAAAAGATGTCAATGAATTTCTATGAAATAATTTTATTAGTTTCAACCAGTTATCATCTCAGTGGGATATTATTTTAGGTATGAGTTGATCATTTATTCTCTCATCTGATTGAACAAAAAGACATTGGGGATGATTAGTCAGATTAGGCTGTAGGGAAAGCAAATTAATGACTTTGTAACACAAAGTACAAGTGCAGAAACCACCCTAACATAAGACCATGGCCTCAATGACTGACTGCTAAGAAGATTTTACGCATGTTTGGATGGATATCAGAGGTGTATTTCATTGTATTTTGTTAAATATTACTTTAATTCTATTCATATCCATGATTTGTCTTGAAAGTTTTCAATAAACAAGATATTAATTAATATTTTATTTAAATGATTTAATTTCATAGAAAAAAACTCATAGGTTGTCTAACAAAAAGTTGCATGTGCTAATGGGAAAACCACCCTAACATCATACTTCTTTAGCTGTAAGTTCATCTACAGTGATCTACTCACATCACATGCTGTGGGCTAACAACACAATTTAACTATTTTCTTATGGATTTTGAGTTTCACATGTGCATTTGTGCTTTTACTTTTCTTCTTGCTGTGGTGAACTGAGATTCCTTTGTTTTTTGTTTGGTGTCAACAATCTTCAGTAACATGCTAAACACCTAACTATTGCCTAAGCTAAGCATTTGAATGAAACGACAACGACGACAAACTAAGCCGTGTTCCATCTTACCCCAAGTCCAACACCTTTGACTGATTTTCTGATGTCTCATGCAAGAAAACACCAGTTGGTCATTCATTGGTCGGTAATCTCAGCAACAATTTTCTTGGGACAATCAGGCCATCGTCCGAGATGATGTGCAATGATTTCTTATATCAGGTTTGTACTGTTTCTCTTAGTCTTTTTATATGAGTGTCCATTATTTTGTTTTAGTGCTTTCAGTTTGTTCTCTTATGACTGATTTTATGCAAGCTGTTAATGATTTTTTTAATTGTCTGATTTTACTCCCATGTAGTGGGAGCATGTGCAATGTACGTGTTGTGGCTGTAATTTTGTACATAATAGTAAATTTGACACCACCTAATAATTCGAGCAAATTCTTTAAAAGACTTCATCAATCAGAAAAAGTGGCTGCTAAGAAAACCACAGTATCATATTGTGTTCGAAGTTATTGTAAGAATTTATGAAAAAAATACACAAATTTAAAGGTTTTCAGCAGAAATTAGAGGGATAAAAAGTGTACAAACTGACAAATTTCAGGAAGTGGCTCATGTGGATTAGTTCTGAAAGGGGCAGAGATTTTTTCAGATAACAAAATATATATCATAGAATTATTGAAACCCGAGAAGATTTGATTTCTTTATTTTGTAGTTGTTGACTCAACATTGAATTAGGTTGGGTTGATGATTGAAGTTTGACTTGTTTTATTAATCTCATCATCAAAATCTTTGTTCCTCCAGCAACAAAGGACATTCATACAGATGAGGACCAATCTCAAAGTGGTGGATAATTCAGGTGCAAAAAGAGTAATGTGCATACAGGCGTTGAAGGGGAAGAAAGGGGCGAGATTGGGCGACACAATAGTTGCATCAGTAAAGGAAGCACAGCTAGGTGGAAAAGTGAAAAAAGGGGAGGTTCATTATGCTGTTGTAGTTCGAGCAGCAATGCAGCGGGGTCGGTGCGATGGGAGTGAAGTGAAGTTCGATGACAATGCTGTAGTACTTATCAACAAGCAAGGTGAACCAATAGGAACGAGAGTGTTTGGCCCTGTTCCTCATGAGTTGAGAAAAAAGAAGCATGTCAAGATTCTTAGTCTAGCTGAGCATATTGCCTGAGTATTTTGCTTTTAAGTTGAATAAGGTTTTTTATCTATCGTTTGGGGGTTGGAACGAACTGCTCGAGTAACGGCTTGGTAGTTAATGTCATTTCTCGTCTTAAATGTTGTCTGTTTCAAAGTAAGTAGATATTATAATTTACTGCTTTGTGGTTGTCAAATCATTCTGGTGCTACGTTATTGTAAGCCTTGAAGCCAACTTCTTGTCCAAGTTGCAAATGGTGCCTTTTATTTTGAAGTCCCTTCTCTCTATTTTTTTTTGCTTTACACCTGGAATTATGCTTTTCAACTGCCATCACTACTATCATTCTGCACCAGATTGTATACTGCGATGTGAGTTAACATTTTGACGAAAAGTGGAGAATTACAGCAAGCCAAAAGTCGTGAAAATAATAGCACATAATGTTTTTATGTGCTGATGAAAATTTCATGATAAATTAGAGGAAAAAATGCATACTGAGCTCCCTATGTTAAGTGATACCTATTGGACTTTGACTTCATCAGAAAGAAAAAGAAAATAAATGCTGCTAAAGGAGCACACATAAATGGTAGTTTTCTCATGTTAGATGCAGACTTTCCAATTCAGCACTAAGAAATATGTTGCTTAGCTTCTAGTTCATAACTTCTCTACTCGTAATGTTCGGCTTTATGAGTGTCTTAGCACGATATTTTTTGTGTTTGAGTGGGTTATGGCTGCATGCATATTGGTAGTGACTACACTTTTATGCTTGAAAATTACAACTCTTGTTGTCACCTTGTTATGATACTTGGAAAGGCGTTGGGTGGTGGATTGTTGGCTGTTAAGTCCAGTTCTTGCAGAAGTAGATGTTATACCCTGCATTCAGCCTGGAGAACATGGGAGGTTAGCGATTTTTATGCGTTTCTTATAAAATTGTTTCTTCATTACCAAACACAAATGCAAAATCTAATAAAAGAAACAAATTAAAAACTTTTGGTTCTGTTTAAGTGAAATCTTCTTAGTTTTAAGATCTCTTCTTGAATGTATAACTGGTTATTCCATTTCTGATAGTTGAGGCCATTGTATAAATATCCAGTAAGTGAACTTCCATTATATATCTTTTGTAGATTGTCACCTTTTGGTCAATGCAGTTGCCATTTGATCACTAGATGTTGTAAGAGATGAGAGACTCTTTATAGGTATCAAAACATTTTTATCAATGTGTCGCATAGAAGTCGTCACTGTGTAAAGATTGTGAACAGATATTTAGTCAGTTGGCTTAAATATTTCACAAACTGCCAGCACCTATTAAGTCTTTCAGATTCAAATAACAGGCACAAGTTTATGTGATTGGGGGAAGGAGAAAAAGAGAGAGAGTTCTAAAGTTTTTGAATAATGTTTCCTGTGCATGTGATAAGTCTTAACTGCATTATTGATGAGAAAAACAAATCGATTGATCTCTTTTCATACATCTTGGTTTTCTTTGGTACATCAGGCTTCTTCCAGAACTCCAACTGCAAATGCCTTCTCTGTGACATTTTCTCGATTTATTCAATTGGAAGACCCTTGGTTTCAGGCACACATACGGGGACAAACAATAATGCTACAACAGAGATTACTCCGAATATAAGGAATG